TTTTTTTTGCAACAGTTAATATAAAAAAAAATTCTTTAAAAAAAAACCAGTTAATATAAACACAGGTTATACGAATATTACGTTCACAAATAAATTAAAGTGTATGCATGTACGTATATGCGTTCGGTCAGGTGGCACGTTTCGGTTTTCGTTAAATTTAGGTTTTTGGTACAGAATGTATCTTTAAGTTGTGATTTTTATAAAAATTAGAGATTTTATTGGGTTCAAAAATACCAAAAAAGTTCTTTCTCGAATCCAATTATTTTTGGCACCATTTTCGTTAGATTTATGTCTATTTTAACCGGATTAGACACAATTGACAATGCACGAAAAAATGAATTATTTTCATTATGGGACAAAGCTTGGTTTTCTTTGTTGGCTATAACTATAAGCTATAATATAGCCTATATATAGACGCATATATAGAAATATCAAATATCTCATGCAATTTTTTTTTGCTATTGTCACCTTTTTTTTGGGATATTTGATGAAATGCAGTTGTGGAAAAAAAAATTATATATACGACATAGAAAGGTTATATTTAGGCTTCAGCAATTTTGAACCAGTTCCATACTTCTGTAGAAACCTGGCCGATTCTTCGGCTAGAACGATACTAATCTTCTTTTGGTTTTATTCACCCACTTGAAAATCTAATGTATAAATTTCGTTACATCGATTGATTTGACATATTGGTACAATTATTTTTCCCTATCAATTTTGTTTGTTTTAATTTGGGTAGGGTGAGTGACATATGACTTTACATTCGACCTACCAAAGTTTGCTCATGTCCATGATTTTGTTGCCGGTATGAGAATTGGATTTTTCTTCTTGGAAGTTTGTCTCTAATTAAGGAAATTTAAACATAACCATATGTAATGTTCTGTCAACCTTAGCTCAAATTAAATCTGGTTTCCAAAACCGGATTCAATAAAGTAATGATCATTAATTGTTAAATAATATCTCAGGGAATGGTGCTTCTATGGCTAACAGCAATGTTACCACAAGTGAAGCCATCTCCTTGTGATCCAACAGTGGCCGGAAGCCACTGTGGATCCGCGACTGCGCCTCAGTTGGCTCTTTTGTATTCCGCATTTGCCCTAATATCGATAGGATCCGGCGGGATCAGACCGTGTTCATTAGCCTTTGGAGCTGATCAATTAGACAACAAAGAGAATCCAAATAACGAAAGAGTTCTTGAGAGTTTCTTTGGTTGGTACTATGCTTCCTCAGCAGTGGCTGTTCTCATCGCGTTCACGGGTATTATTTACATTCAAGAGCATCTTGGATGGAGAATCGGGTTTGGAGTACCCGCGGTTCTCATGTTGATCGCTGCTTTGTTGTTTGTTCTCGCGTTTCCTCTCTATGTTAGACGCAATGTGAGCAAGAGTCTCTTCACTGGTTTAGCTCAAGTTGTTGTTGCAGCTTACTTGAACAGGAAGCTAAGTCTACCAGACCATCATGACTCCTTTGATTGTTATCATCACATGAAAGATTCTGATCACAAAGCTCCAAGTCACAAATTGAGGTAATGCCACTATAAATATCTTTCTAAAGTCTGAATACTTTTTAGTTTCATTCTAACTTTTGATACGGTCTCTTAATTAGGTTTTGATAGATCTCTTGATTAATTAGGTTTTTGAACATAGCTAGTAATACAAGAAACATAATGCTATTTCTATACTTTGGTACTGTCTCTTGATTAGGTATTTCAACAAAGCTTGTTATACAAGAAATACAATGCTATCTTTTGATTCTTACACTCTCATGATTAGGTTTTTGAACAAAGCTTGTTTGATAAGCAACCGCGAGGAGGAGATTGGGTTGGATGGGTATGCTCTGCATCCATGGAGGCTATGCACAACCGATCAAGTGGAGGAGCTTAAGACATTGATCAAAGTCATACCTATATGGTCCACAGGAATAATGATGTCCATAAACACTAACCAAAGCTCGTTTCAGTTGCTTCAAGCGACTTCCATGGACAGACGTCTTAGCCGCCATGGTTCAAGCTTTCAAATTCCAGCTGGATCATTCGGTATGTTCACAATCATAGCTCTAGCCATGTGGGTCGTTCTATATGACCGTGCAGTTATACCACTAGCTTCAAAGATCCGAGGTAGACCTTTTAGACTCGGCGTTAAGCTAAGAATGGGATTAGGGTTATTCATGTCATTCTTAGCAATGGCGATTTCCGCAATGGTCGAAAGTATTAGAAGAAAGAAAGCTATAAGCCAAGGGTATGCAAACAATGGCAATGCTATTGTAGACATCTCAGCAATGTGGCTCGTGCCACAATATGTACTACATGGATTAGCAGAGGCTCTTACCGCGATAGGGCAGACCGAGTTTTTCTACACCGAGTTTCCTAAAAGTATGTCTAGCATCGCAGCCTCTCTCTTCGGTTTAGGAATGGGTGTGGCTAGTCTATTGGCAAGTGTGGTCCTCAATGCGGTTAATGAACTAACTTCAAGAAATGGTAAAGTGAGTTGGGTTTCAGACAACATCAACAAGGGTCATTACAACTATTACTATTGGCTACTTGCGATCATGAGCTTCATCAATGTTATCTATTACGTGATATGTAGCTGGTCGTATGGTCCTTTGGTTGATCAGGTGAGGAATGGTAGGGTTAATGGTGTGAGAGAGGAAGAAGAGTTGCTTGACATTGTTGGGAAAGGCTTCGAGAAGGAAGATTCAAGTGAAGTTATTAAAACCATACAAGGAATTTAAGATCTTGCAAGATTGGATGTTGTCTAAAAAGGAAGCAAGAAACTATAGGAAAACTATATTTTATTGCATTTGGTGTGTGTGGTACTCAGTATTAAGGTCTATATAGATTTGTAATTAGATTAAATTATGTGTTTGGGTTTTATTTAGGGTTTTTGATGAATTGTTTAATGATATTTGGCTGTGAATAAGGCCAAAGGGTTTGTTGTATTTATTGTGTTATTGCAATTCATGAAGTTTTTCTTTGTATATATATGGGGTTTTTTTTTTTTAACTTCTGAGTATTCTTATTAAAAAGAAGAGAACATCAAACCAGCGACATCAAAACCCAATATAAGGGAGATAAAGATGTCACCGAGACGCTTCAAGATGAAGCCGATCATGTAACCATGCCGGTCCGCCGAGGCCAAGGTACGAGTGAAATCTTCCATCCCTAGTACCACTCTCCTGCTTAGCCGCATACAAGATTGCGTTCCGGTTTTTCCAAATGTTCCATAAGAGCCAAGGAATAGAAACTTTGATCATATCAGTAAGTGTTGCCCCTTCCATCATGTCCAGAATACGATTCAAGTTTGCTTCCAATGAGTTCGAGAAAACAAAGCTTGGATTAGAGATGCCCGCCAAGTCCCATATTTGAAAGGCGACACTACAACCAAAGAGAACATGGTTGATGGATTCTACATGTGTTTGACACAACTTGCAAGTTGTATTAACATCAAGACCTCTTGTTCGCAACCGCTAGAGCACCTGCAACCGCACGCCATAGAAATAAGCGGATCTTTGGTTGTGTTTGGAGCTTCCATATTCGATCTTTCAATGCATTTGTTTGCATTTCCATGTTGATCTCCCTCACCGATTTCCA